ATCATGCATGCACAGGAATGGGCATGTTGTCTGATTGTTCAACACGGGTACTGTCATGGGCTGCGCAAATAATTGGTTTCTGAAACACACACCCCAAGGCAAAGAATACGATGCCACGGGCATGAACTAGATCCAGCTGGTTGCCAAACCCTAACCCTGATCCGCACCTGCACCGTACAATCGTGAATGATGTAGCTGCCTCGGCTTGGGTATCTCGAGAAGGAACAACCTCATTCCAAACTTGCTCCCGGTCCAGCCGATGCATGCTGCCCTGCCCGAGATTCTGCAAAGACTGAATGTTCAGGACCCCCGATTTTCGAAACCGTGTTTCTGGGAAAGAGATAGCCCAGAACAAGTTGGCTAGCCAGATTTGCAATTTGCCTCCTTATTCCTGCGCTATCCTGCGCATCTCAAGGGCTATCGGCACCAGGCTCTGAACCACCGGAAACCCAAAACACCCCCGGTTACAACGCTATACTTATGAATACTCGACGCAACAGCTCCAACAACCAGCCACAGTAATCCGAAGTCCCAATTACCATGAACGGGTACTTGGCACTTGGGCATTGGTTGAGCAATCAGAGAAGCAGAGCAAATCATACTGGGTGCCCGCGCACAGCTGAATTTTTGACTCGTCATCTCCGGGGGGTGCTGGCGCATTCTCGACTGATGCACGTGCCGCTGGTGATCCTAAGAGTAGTTAAATTACATACGTACGTGTTTATTTATGGTTAGTATTTATGGTTATACGACACATGCAACCGGTGGTTCTTCAAGTCCACAGTCAATTTCAAGGCACGTGGTCTTATGAGGTGTTCGGGAACGGCGCGGTTTTTAATAGAAGAAGTTCACAATTCATAGCGCAGTTGTGCATTCGAAGTGTTTCCGCATTTCGTAGCTGGGCAATGAAAACCCTCCGAAACACTGAAACACCTCAACAGAACCTGGCCGAGCAACAAAACGGTAGTTAACGCAGTATCAAACATAGAATCGCTGTCCCCATGCGGACCGCTACAAGTCCTTGTTGTCGCTTCCAGGAGTTCAGAAATTGATTTCATAAACTTTTAATAAGGACACTATAAGGACCATACGTTTTGAATCGTAAGACTCCTGTGTTTCTGCAGGCCCACAATTCCGGCAGCTTGACCTCCCATGTAGTCCATGGTGCGACTGTGGAAATAGCCCTGCGCCCCAGCTTCTCTCGTTCGTGCAATTCACACTTGTCGAAGCCTACTTCAAGGAGCGACAATGTGACAGGGCCAACACCTCCAGAAAGGCAACGGCAACCCAGGCTAAATCATGCTAATGATGTCTCATGACATGACAGCTTGGGAGCTAAAACTGCACGGCAAGTTCGGAGACATTCGGGGCAATACTAGCTCGGCACCATGCAGGCTGCAGTTACATGCTGCCATGAAGCACGATATGTGTCGCTGTCTGTCCACCAGCTACTTCATGTATCAAGGGTTTAATGCTCTACGGGTCCAGGGGCTACGTTGACATCCCGTTCCCACCTTGTTCTGTCTTGTGCCTGAGCTGGAAATGCAGACTCGCTCAACGCACCGGCACGAGCATTACCGCAGAACGTAGTGCAACAGGGTGGTTGGGCTGATTTTCCCAAAGACGAAGACGTCATGATGTTAGTGTAAGAAAAAACACTCACTTAGCCTAAAATAGGGTAACGCGCCTTGTTTCGTATTATATACTTAGTTGCTGAGTTCATGAGCCCCCAGAAGTGTACACTTTGAGCTTTATAAGGGGTAATAGTATCCCAAAAGGTGTAAAGTGTAGCCACTCAGCTACTAAGTATATCGCCAGGATCCTGTACAGGCTTGAACATGACCGGACTCCATCCTTTGCTCTGCTCTGCCGGAGTGCACATTCCGTTTTTGCAGCGGAAATCCGGAACGCCGAAACCCTGCTTAGACCCGGAACGAATCCGAGACCAGGCTCGATATAAATTGTATTGCTAGAAGTAGTCACACAAAATTTCCTCAGTATTTGCAATAAGGTTTTGGGTTTCATGTATGTATGCATGTGTGTTATTATGCATGTGTGTGTATGTGTGTGTACGTATGTATGTATGTATGTAGGTATGTAGGTATGTAGGTATGTATGTATGTATGTCTATGAGTATGTATGTGTCTATGAGTATGTCTGTATATATATATACACACATAATCTTATCCATAATGTAATACCGAAGACAACGGAATAAGATTGGCAAGTCTCGTGGCTCCTATTGTGACTTGGATCCGAGGGCTGGACAAACGAGGCCTTCGGTAGGTACGAAGCATTGCCGCACGAAGTCCTCCGTGTCGTAGACCCCTGGTGGCGAAGTTAAGGGTTTCGGGTTTAGGGGTTTAGGCAGCGGTAGGCGATAGCATTTAGGGGTGAGTTAAGGGTTGACTAGCTTCGGAAGCATTTAAAGGCTTTCGGTCTCGGGTGCTTCGGTGTCTTTGATTTCTAGGGGCATCCGAGGAGAGAAAAAATCAAACTCGGCTTGGCAAACACTTGATTCGACCAAATTCGGCCAGGCCTGGATGATCAAAAGCCTTGGCGCAAAAGGGAGCTCTTTTTGCGGAGCCCACATGTTGGGTCCTTTGTCCTTCCTTTGTGGCTGAAGCCGTGCGCGGGTTACACTGCAGCATGATTTGTTGGACGGTCATGGTTTCCTCACCCGAGTCCACGGGCGAGGCCATGGTACAGTCTACTCAGAATGAAATAGCATACTTGCACTGACCTACACGCTCCGACGCAACTCCTATTTTGGTAATCTAGTTTTTGCTACCTCGTCTGCGCCAGACAAACATGGCCTACAACAGGTATGTCAATAGAAACCAAAACGGAAAGTATAGCTTACCTTTTCTGTGACCACTGGTCGTGATGCTGCCACCTTGGGTGCCGGCTTTCCGGGGCTTGCCTGTGCATGCAGATACTTCTGTTCGCATCTATAGTCTATAGGCAAGGTTACATGTTCCGATCTTTGCACACCGACACAGGGCTCGGTGACAGGCCACGACGAATCAAATGCATGCTGGACGCGGCCTGCCAATATTCCCATAGCTCAGATTTTCAGAAGCACGTCGTCTTGGCCATGCGTTCTACACTGTCCTACAGTGACAGTGTTGGACCCTTAACTTGCGAGTGCAGCATATATCCGTACTGGGTGACCTACCGATCTGGTTCTCGCGTGCTTTCCGGCGAGGCTTAGTCATGCTGAATTCACAGTGGCTGCGAGGGGATGCATGCGCAACTTGTGCTTGATCGGAAAGCCTGGCACGGACACAAGGCATGACGGCAAGAAAAGAATGGAAAAACGAAAGCCTACCCAGTGAAATGCCCTGCCCAACAAAATCCTGAACCCCTCCAGGGCGGCAAAGGCCTGCAGCCTCCATTTCTGGAAGGTGCAGAGCCCTATTGGATCTCCGAATCAACAACCCAAGCTGCAGAACTGCTCACTCGCAGCAGCCCAGCCCTGCCGAACTGTCAGGGTTTGTTTTTGCACGCAGCCGTGGCCGTGCTCGAATTCTGTTGCGCGAATACGAGAAGTTCTTGGAATGCAGAAACGGAAAAGAGCCTGTGCCACTGATCTACCGGCATCATGATTCATGACTTGAACCGCTATCATCCCTTATCCTGCAAATGGAACACCATCCATGGAACCGCCGCCGCAGCAAAGAAGCACATATCCAAATCCGATAAAGCATCTTGGGTACAACATGATAACTGTGTGGGTAAGCTCACTTGCTGCGGGGGGCCATGTCTACGAAATACTGTGAAACGCCATCGACCTGAGAACGTTCCCACCAAAAGAAGGCATGAACAATGCGAACACTTATATACGGAACTGTTCACACAATGCTGCTCAATCTCCGCGAACCGTGCATATGTGTAATTGGTGGCACTGTCAGAATCCAACGCATTTCCGGAATGTGGTCTAGCCGACGACACCGACGAAACATTGGCTACCTAAATGGATACGAAAACATATCTTCTCACGGGAGGGCTGTGAGGATGTTGACCGCCGCCAAGCGAACACCTTGCGCAGAACGAGTTGAGGAGCACGCATTGCCAGAATGTCGATCATGATACGTTACGTTCGTGACATCCCATGACTCCTTTTGCCGGCGTGCAAAAAAGCAGGACCTCTTCATTCGCCCGGCATTGACATCCTGGGGCAACGCATATCAGCACGTTCGGCACTTTCGCCGCAATCTTTTGGAATTTGAGTGGCCGGCACGGACTCGAAATGGGCAGTTCGGCCACAGCTTCGCCATTGTCCTCGCAGTGTACACGCTGTCAACTGAAGATCTACTGGATGGTTTGTGTTCGCCATTGTGGTCTGAGTCGCACAAAGATACCATTAACAAATGCAAAAGGCGTTGCGTTGTAGACACATGTGCGGCGACACACCTTGTCCAATCGGTGATGTTCCACTTGAAGTGGTGGCAACCTTAGTGGAAGCAACCTTTTGGAATTGAGGTTATTAATTAATGACAGCCAGCAAACACATTTTGTGCACATTCGACGCGACTGAACTTCAATGGCTGCAAGTGCTGAGGCTCAAAACCGCGGGATTTGCTGGAAACGCACCTGCATTCAAAGATCTCCATGAAGCTCGGCTCTGCTTTAGCACACTTCAGCCGTTCATGTGAAGCTGTGCCCGGATCAGCTGGGGGAATGAACGACGAGATTCGGAGCATCGCCGGCAGTGGAGGCGGCGACGGTACTTCCCAACTTTAAACTTAAGGAGATACAACAACGGAACATGAGGATGCGAAGCAAGCATGCGCGGCAAGTTGGATGCCGCGCTTTATTCTGCAATGCTCATCCGCTCAACGTGTCTGCAAAGGCAAACAATATGCTGTCGAATAATTGCGGCCGTGGGTTGGTCATGGATCAGCATTCTTTTTGTGTTTGCACAGCCGATCTGTGCAAATCGAGAAGTGCACTAAGGCAGTTGTCAGGACCAGTGAAGCATGGCCCCTGACGCAAGGATGACACGCTTGCCAGGACCATTGAAGCATGGCCCCTGCGCAAGGACGACACGCCACACGTTGTGGCTCAAGCATGGTGCACAAATCGAGAAGTGTACCAAGGTCTCGGCAGGGGTTTGTAATCTTCAGAGTTGGGAGTTCGGAGTGGGGTTCCGAGGGTACCCGATATCCTCGTTCCCTCTTTGTCCCTAACCCTTTCAGGGTCATTTGGAGCTTGATTTGAAGGTGGTTGGTGACTGTGTAGTGTTGATGGTGACATGGATTATAGTTCGCTAGATGATGTACCATATAGCGTAAGGATGAACCTGCAGCAACAACAACATCAGCAGCATCAGATTATGTCACCAGCGTTCAGCATCGTCACAGACAGCAGCCCTCAACAAACGCAGGTGATGAGCCCAAACGCTCCACCGCAATCCCTTTCTGCAGCGAGTGCTTCAGTGGCACCACAGCTTCAGCACTTCGACGAGCCGTCATCAGAAAATGTGGTACGTACGAGGATGCAGCAGATGTTGCAGATTCAGGCGCCAGCCGAAGTTCTGAGATTGCTTCAATCATCAGCTGCAGTAGTGGCAGACGCTAAGACCATCAAGGACGTGCAGAGCAATGTTCGTTTGGTGGCTCAGGAGCTTGAGGCAAGAACAGAACGATTGGCATCGTGCTTGTCGGAAATTACCGGGGACCTAGATGGGGTGAAACATCAATCAGAGAGACTGCTCACTGCTGCAAGTGATCATCATGTTGCCTTGAACAACGCCAATGACAAGTTCAAACAGCTTGAAGAACAGATCCAGCAGATAGAAAGTGCAGTCACCCAGTTGTCGAGGCGTCAGGTCACCTTTGAGTCTACGATGGAGACTCGGTTGGGTGCCCTTGAGAATCAGATCATACAGTTGAGAGCTCAGGCTGCATCAGCGGACGCGCTGAAAGATGAAGTGGTTTCGATGAAAGCTACATTGTCAAGGCTTGAGCATCAGCAACCCGAGATACAACAAAGCGCGCAGACCAAGAGTGAAGAGAGTGAGACCCGCATTCAGCGCAGAATTGACGAGATGGATGTGTTGTTGAAACATTTCTTCGAACGTGTGGATGGAAATGAGAAACTCTGTGAGAAGCTTAGACAGCGGTCGGAGGATCTCACCAGCCGCTTTGAAACCTTGCAAACTCACGTTGATGCGGGGTTTAGTTCGGAATCCAGAGCTTTACCACGTCGTCCTCAACTTCAGATGCCCCAGCAGATTGCAGAGGAGGTGTCCGATGAAAGGTTTGAGGAGGAGGCGAAGGCTCAGGAGATCATTGAAACACCAAAGCATCGCACAACGTCAGGTGTCCAGATGTTCCAGATGACTCCCCAGCGTGACGGAGCCGATGATTCATGGCAGAAGGATGCTGTTGATGAGTGGCTGGAACAGGTAGAGGGACCTGAGATTGTGCAATCTGTTCCTGCGGAGCCTCCAGGTCTAGGAAGTTCTGGTGCAAAGATTCCGGCGGGACAATGGAAATTGATCAAAGATTTTCCCAAACCCACGATTCCTCACGGAGAACCGTGGGAAAAGGGAATGGTGTTTAGACAGTGGTGCACAGAAGCCGCATCATTGGCAGAGGCGATATCACCATATTTTGCAAAGTTCTTCCGAAAGCGAGTGCAGGAGGGACAGACCAATTATGAGAAGCGCTTGAGGGATGGTTGTGAGTCAACGTTGCCAGCAGTTCATCAGGAGGAGCGGGAGATGGAAACCCGATTGAGCCTAGCTCTGCTTAAGGCAATCCCATCTTCTTTGAAGCAACCGGCTCTTGAGAAGGGTACCCCAAATGACGCGGTATCCACGATTGCATTAATGGAGACAGTGAGCGAAGTGTTGATGCCAGGAGGTATTACTGAGCAAGTGTCGTTACAGAGATTCCTTCGGCAACTTCCCACGGCATCATCTTGCAAGGAGCTGCTTGCTACACTCAGGAGGTGGAGACTGGCCAAGCAACGCGCTGATCATTTAGGAGTCCCAGAACAAGCCCCTCATGAGTCAATTGCTGCATTGAACAGCTTGTGCCAACAGCTTGAGAAAAAGCATGCTTTGTTGGGAACAAGATTGAGCTTGTTGAGATTGCAGCACAACATCCAGGTACCATCCCACGACGGAGTGACATCGTTCCTTCAGGTATTGGAAGCCGAATGTACCCGGATTCAAGCTGAGGAACAGACGTCGTCGTCGTCCAAGGATGCTCGGAAACATGAGGGAGATGAATACGCTATTCCTTCGGCAAATCAGGCTACTGGGGAAAGGGTGTCGGTACAAGGCCGTTGTGCTCGTACTTCAATACTGCCAGAGGTTGCCTAAAAGGAGCAAATTGCGAGTTCAGACATGAAAAGATTTCAAACAAAGGGAAGGAGGCCAAAGGCAAGAGCGGCAAAGATGGGAAGGATGCTGGAAAATCTTCTTCTGAAAAGGGGAAATCATCTGGTAAGGGCGACGCGAGAGGAATTGCAGATGCAAAGGTGGCTGAAGAAGCAAAGGCTAAGGCCGCTGCGGAAGCGAAGGCTAAGGCGAAGGCTGAAAAAAAGGCGGCCAAAGCGGCAGCAAAAGCAGCAGCATCAGCTAAGGCTTCTTCCGTAGTGAATGTTGCAAGCGCGACTTCAGAGGAGGTTCCATCATTGGTTGGTGCAGTAGGGCCGACTTCATCCGAGTCAACAGCTCCACGCATCATGATGGCACAGAGTCTGGACTGCGAGAGTAATGATTCTAGCGAGTCAGAGCCACTTGAAGCAGAGATTCCTATGAGAGCTGAGGGTGATACGCCAGAGTGGTCGGAAGTAGAGCGTGGCGATTTCTCCAGTGCAGAGTCTTCTTCAGAGGAAGAGTTTCAGGCTGATGAAGATCAGCACCGGCAGGTGCAACCACTTCGTCTATGGGTGTTAAACCTGACGATTGAAGATTTCATCATGTGGACGAGACCTGGTCACATTCAGTCACATGCCACTTCCGAGTTCCAGATGGAAACCAATCCAAACTCCATTATGTGGCCTGTTTGGTGGACGATTGAACAGGATTATCTTGATGACAACGAACAGGGAGTGATCCCTGTGACGGAAGATGTGGTGATGTTGAGGTGCGATGTGACACCAGTGTTGTTTGAGGATGGCATCATTCTGAATGTCTTTGTGGTGTGGCTCCTTGAGGAGGAGACTGGAAGAGAGCGCAGGGTTGCAGTGATTAGAGGGCCAGTTCGTCCCATTGTCACTCCGTGGCCAAATCGGGAACTGAGTACAGCAGCCTCAGCAAGCAGCCCTCCAGTTGCGAAGGCACCGACGATCACGGCGCCGCCTCCGGAGTTGCATCAGGGTTTCCCTAGGATAGGTTATCCCATAACTCCTCTAGCTAAGGCTGCAGCTTACGCTTGGAGAGCAAACGAGATTCAGGCGATTGAAGCTGTCACCGCAGTACCCAAAGCAGCAGCGAAAGCAGTAGCTAGAGCATTCCAGGTTCCATTCGTTACAGCCCCTCGAGCCAAAGCTACAGCATTTCCCAAAGCACGAGCAGTGGCGAGAGCACCTCGAGGAGGAGCAACAATGCCGACAGCCATGCGTTGTGTATGTGTTGAGGAAGAGCTTGATTTTGAACCTCCCATGTTGGTTGGAGCTAAGGCTGAGCCAATCACCGCTAGCAGACTTGAGTGTGTTGATCAACCAGTTGGAAGTGCAGTGGTCAGTCAGCAGCCGTCGGTGTTGGTGGATTCGGGTGCAAATGAGACTATTCGTCCTTGGCTTGCAGATATAAAGGAAAGTGGATGTACCTACACAGCCGTTGTAACTGCGAGTGGTGATCGAGTAGCCGCGCTTAGAACCAGGGATGGAGAGTTATGCATCAAGTCCACCGAAGATAGTAGGGACTGGCTGTTGAGTGTTCGTCGGCTAGTGGAGGCTGGTGGAACTTTCAAGTGGGATCGAGAGGCAGCAACAGATCTTATTTTGACGGTGAAGGGCATGAGGAGTATGTGGATTGCAGGATTCAGAATGGGTTGCCCTTGCTTGATTGGGAGAGCTTCAAGCCGATTCGGATCATGCTCTCAAAACACTTCAAACGCAGGCCAACAGTTGCACGCGCAGCTACAGAGACAGCTCTTGAGTGGAAGAGTTGCCAAACATGTTCCATCGAGGAGTTGAGCGAGGCTGTGTGGAATGAAGAGGCATACCGCATGACAGCCGAAGAGAGCGAGGAGATCGCAAAGGCAATTTGGGAGTCAGAGTCTAGAGCTAGAGAGCTTTTGAGTCGTGACAGTATATCGCATGAGGATGTGTGGCGACTTATCCGGGAGGCACACTTGAAAGGTCAAAGAACGCATAGGCAGGATATGTTGGTGAATCCAGATCAAGACCGAGTACAAATCTGGATATTCGGAATGTTTTGCCACGGGGGAGTTACAGGGATCACCACTGTTACCCGCGAACGACCTTTCTTGACAAGGTTACTGGTTAGATTCATTAGACAGGAGTTGCCGACCTTGACGTTTACCACGATCTCACTGGCAATCGATGCTACCCTGCGTCCGCACAGAGACCTTACGAACGCTGTGGGGTCAGTGGCGGGAATCGTGGGAATTTCCAAATTTGAGGGTGGCAAGCTGTGGATTGAAGATTCAGCTGGCACGGCCAGGAGACGTGTATCGCAGGATGAAGTCAAAACTGGAATGCTGCTAGACGTGTGCCAAAAAGCACACATCTTTGACCCAAGACGTTGGCACGGAGCTGATCAACATCGGGGTATTTGATCAACGGTGGTCGGTTACACGGCTAGGCAGCTGCAGCGTCTTGATCAGGATATGACAGACAGGTTGAGACGATTGGGTTTCAACTTACCGGAGGTTTCATCCAAGGCCACAGTTGCAGTCGCAAGTCAGGGCAAGGCGATGGCGCATCAAGCAGTCAGTGAGGTTTCAGATCATGGAGCCCAGGAGAACAGCAGAGTGCATCCAGATGACCTCGATGATGAGGATGAGGGTGAGGGCTGTTCGGGGTATGAAGGGTTTGTTTCCTCCGGGACGTCGGGTCGCTGTGAGCATTGTGGGATTTCGTTAGTCCGAGACATAGGCTCATCCGTGCAGCCATGGAGCGTCCGAAGCGCTGAAGCTGTGAACCCTGTATCAAGCTTTGATGAAGTCTCGCAACAAAGGGCGATTGAGCTACTCAGGAGGAAGTGTGCACAAGGGTTGTACGAGCGTCATTGTCCCAGCTGTGCTGAGGCCCACGGTCATAAGCGCAAGTGCAGGAGATTGACTCCGGAAGAGATCGGTGAGGGCACTTTGTCCATGGACCTGTCAGGTCCCCATCCAGCCGCATTTTCAGGACATCGCTACTTCATGGTTGCAAACTTGAGCAGAAAGGACGGTGGTGACATCCCGTTTTCGAGGCTGTTGTTCACCAAACAAACTGAAGAAGTGGCTAAAGCTTTGACCTCTGTGATGTGCCAGATTGTATCGCTTGCTCAGGGTCCCTCCAGTGTTCCGTATCCACAGTGATGCTGGTAAGGAGTTCGTGGGAGGAGCATTTCAGAAAGCAGTGGAGCAGTGTTGTGTGTGGCCCACGATGAGTGCACCATACACGCCACAGCAGAATGGTCGGGCAGAGAGGCTAGTAGGATTGCTTAAGGCAGCTGCAGGATCCCTGTTGCTGCATTCGCAATTCCCTTTGCAACTCTGGGATGAGGCAGTGCTGGAGGCCACGTTCCTGCGGCGATGTAGGGCACTGAAACTTCTAATCCCGAGGGACCGCCCAAGAATGGGCGACACAGTGTTCGTGCGAAAGCCGACAAGCTCCGTGGGGCATCCATTCGAACCTAGGGCAGAGGAGGGCCTATTCCTGGCCAATGATGAGCGAACGCCTGGTGGGGCTCGGGTTCTGGTAACGCGGGACGGTAGGACCGCTGTGCGTGTGACGCAGATGCCAGTTCTTAAGGACATTGAGGCGATCAGATGGCGAATTGAACGAGGACCTCAAGATCAAGCAGTTTGGGTGAGCACCACTGGGGATGTGAGGTGGAATGCTCCACCTTCAGACATGATTACGGTCGAAGAGTCGGTAGGGGAAATCCAGCCGTGGAACGACGGGAACACCGCATCTGAGATCATCAGGGAGCGCTTCAAAAAACATTTGGTGCCCGAGGCTGAGAAGCACTTGTTTGGATTGTTTGGTCATGGATTCTTGGTGACTCCTGTGGAAAAAGAAGAACCTGACGGCGAAGCCAGGGCAGGGGTAGTGGAAGCTGAAAGGCCAAATCATCCCCTATGTTTTCTGTGGGGGGGAGGCTGATTCATGGCTAGGCCATTATTTAACATACCCCCCTAATGTTTTGATGCATCTCCCATGATCCTGGCCCTCCTCCGGAACCCCCCCATAGTGGAAAAGCAACATAACGCAACTACTCAACATCAGGCTGTCGCAGACACACACACACACACTCTCTCTCTCTCTCTTTCTCACTCTCTCACTCTCTCACTCTCTCTCTCTCTCTCTCTCTCTCTCTCTCTCTCTCCCAATCAGCTTGCATTGCAAATCGCTGCACAGCACTGCGCAGCATCGTTCTGCTGCAGGCTTCGCCGAGACGTGACGACCGGAGCCGGAGCCATGGACGGCGCTAATTCGTGCAGTTTTGGGCTTGGGCTCCAACAGGCAAGATGATCAGAGGAGGGCCATACCCTAAAGCCGGGACCTTAAAGCCCGAACCTTGAACCCTAAACCCTGAGCCTTGATTCCCGAACCTTGAACCCTAAACCTTGAACCTTAAGCCCCGAAGCTTGAACCCTAAACCCTGAACCTTAACTCCCGAACCTTGAGCCCTAAACCCTGAACCTTAGACCCCGAACCGTGTACCCTAAACCCTGAACCTTAACTCCCGAACCTTGAACCCTAAACCCTGAACCTTAGACCCCGAACCGTGTACCCGAAACCTTGAACCCGAGACATCTGGAAACCTTCCACATCCGTAAGCTTCGCAAAGTCTATGGAGCTTAAGTCTGGGGAGCCAGGCTGCCTGCCGAGCAAGAAAGTTGCAAGGGATGCTGGGGTATAGTGTTCCGGGCTCGCGGGATGATACGAGGAACAGGATTGTGGGTCGGGGGCAAGGCATAGAGCTCAAATTAGCGTGTCCAGGGTATAGAGTTAACGTATTCGGGGACGAGGAGGACCAGCATGGACCAGACCTCTTGTGGATTCTGGTTGCGGTAGAGTTTTGGGTCTAGAAAGCTCGGAGTAGGCCGTCCCCGCGATATCTCGAGTGGCCTTTTTCTTTTGCCAAGACAAAGCAAAGGGATGTTTAGGGTTCGGGGTTCAAGGTTCAGAGGCATAGGCTTGGAGGCTCAGGGCATTCAGGGCTCCAGTGATCGCAGGAGAACAGGATTGAGTGTGAGGGCAAGATATAGGCTCAGGGTCGAGGGTTCGGGGTACATTCTCGGCAATGGACAGGCCACTCGTGGAATGCAGCTCTCATGTGCAGTCTTAGCATGTCTTAGCCCAGCATGCAGGGTTTAGGGTTCGAGGCTTGGGGCTATGAGTACAAGGGGCCATGGCGCGTGCTGGTCTTTGAAAACGTTTCTGTAGCTCGGAATAGCTCGGATATCAGGCTCCACGACCGATCTGGGGGCGGGGAGGTTTGTGGGTTTTGCTTTGGATATGACATGTAGGCATAAAGGAGACCATCTCCGAGCCAAGTTTGCCGGCCATATGGTGTCTATACAAGAGAGACCTGGCTGGTTTTTGTCCGGAATCCTCCGAACCGCTTAGAGTTCGGAAGCACTTGTTGTATCTGCCTGCGGATGCTTCCGGTCCAATGCAATCAGACATTCGCTCACTTACGGAGCAGCCATGGGTAGACACTCTCCTTGTTAGTCCTTGTCCAGAAGTCCTGTGCCTGCCTTCTTTGGCATGGCGGGGTCAGGCCCTGCCACTTTGAGACTAGTGCTGCGACGGCAGACATACAGAGCAGTCCGAGTGGTGGTCTTCTGTGGTCTTCTTAGCGTGCGCATGGTCCTCGAAATCCCAGACGTCCTGTGGGCGAAGCAAGCCAGGCAGCATTGGTGAAGAGATCGTCGGTGAAGGCGGGCTTCTGCCGTGCTGTTCTTTGCACTCCTTTGCTATCCTTGCTTGTGTCTGGGCTTTCCCAGCCTGTTCTGGTTGTCTCTGTAACTTCCCGTTCTGTCGGCCAGGCTAGGTGCCGCAGGTCAGCCGTTCGGTTGCTTTCTAAGGCAGGTTTTCGTAGCTTGCTGGCTGCTTGGGCACGCACGTCGGGCCGCGGGGAAAGTGGAAAAGCACGTGCTGGAACATCGGGCCTGGCTCGGCAGGGGCGGCTCGGGAGCTATGTTGAGGAATGCGCTTTTCCACTTTCCCGTGCTCTGCTCGGGGAATCCAGGGATGCCTGGGTGGTGCGAGTCGGGTCGGGGAAAGTGGAAAAGCACGCGCTGGAACATCGGGCCGGGCTCGGCAGGGGCGGCTGGGGAACCATGTTGAGGAATGCGCTTTTCCACTTTCCCGTGCTCTGCTCGGGGAATCCAGGGATGCCTGGGTGGTGCGAGTCGGGCCGGGGAAAGTGGAAAAGCACGTGCTGGAACATCGGGCCGGGCTCGGCAGGGGCACCTGGGGAACCATGTTGAGGAATGCGCTTTTCCACTTTCCCGTGCTCTGCTCGGGGAATGTCGCGAATCCGTAAGGAATGCCTAAAGTTGTAGGTAGATTCGGTATTATACCGCGAGGGGAAGTCCAGGGATGCCTGGGAGGTGCGAGTCGGGCCGGGGAAAGTGGAAAAGCACGCGCTGCAACATCGGGCGGGGCTCGGCAGGGGCGGCTCGGGAGCTATGTTGAGGAATGCGCTTTTCCACTTTCCCGTGCTCTGCTCGGGGAATCCAGGGATGCCTGGGTGGTGCGAGTCGGGCCGGGGAAAGTGGAAAAGCACGTGCTGGAACATCGGGCCGGGCTCGGCAGGGGCGGCTGGGGAACCATGTTGAGGAATGCGCTTTTCCACTTTCCCGTGCTTTGCTCGGGGAATGTCGCGAATCCGTAAGGAATGCCTAAAGTTGTAGGTAGATTCGGTATTATACCGCGAGGGGAAGTCCAGGGATGCCTGGGTGGTGCGAGTCGGGCCGGGGAAAGTGGAAAAGCACGTGCTGGAACATCGGGCCGGGCTCGGCAGGGGCGGCTGGGGAACCATGTTGAGGAATGCGCTTTTCCACTTTCCCGTGCTCTGCTCGGGGAATCCAGGGATGCCTGGGTGGTGCGAGTCGGGCCGGGGAAAGTGGAAAAGCACGTGCTGGAACATCGGGCGGGGCTCGGCAGGGGCGGCTCGGGAGCTATGTTGAGGAATGCGCGTTTCCACTTTCCCGTGCTCTGCTCGGGGAATGTCGCGAATCCGTAAGGAATGCCTAAAGTTGTAGGTATATTCGGTATTATTCCGTATTATATTGCGAGGGGAAGTCCAGGGATGCCTGGGAGGTGCGAGTCGGGCCGGGGAAAGTGGAAAAGCACGTGCTGGAACATCGGGCCGGGCTCGGCAGGGGCGGCTCGGGAGCTATGTTGAGGAATGCGCTTTTCCACTTTCCCGTGCTCTGCTCGGGGAATGTCGCGAATCCGTAAGGAATGCCTAAAGTTGTAGGTATATTCGGTATTATTCCGTATTATATTGCGAGGGGAAGTCCAGGGATGCCTGGGTGGTGCGAGTCGGGCCGGGGAAAGTGGAAAAGCACGTGCTGGAACATCGGGCGGGGCTCGGCAGGGGCGGCTCGGGAGCTATGTTGAGGAATGCGCGTTTCCACTTTCCCGTGCTCTGCTCGGGGAATGTCGCGAATCCGTAAGGAATGCCTAAAGTTGTAGGTATATTCGGTATTATTCCGTATTATATTGCGAGGGGAAGTCCAGGGATGCCTGGGTGGTGCGAGTCGGGCCGGGGAAAGTGGAAAAGCACGTGCTGGAACATCGGGCGGGGCTCGGCAGGGGCGGCTCGGGAGCTATGTTGAGGAATGCGCGTTTCCACTTTCCCGTGCTTTGCTCGGGGAATGTCGCGAATCCGTAAGGAATGCCTAAAGTTGTAGGTATATTCGGTATTATATTGCGAGGGGAAGTCCAGGGATGCCGGTGGTGCGAGTCGGGCCGGGGAAAGTGGAAAAGCACGTGCTGGAACATCGGGCGGGGCTCGGCAGGGGCGGCTCGGGAGCTATGTTGAGGAATGCGCTTTTCCACTTTCCCGTGCTCTGCTCCAGAATATAGAATGCCCTGAACAAAGTCCTAGGATGCGTCGGCCGTGTGCCAGGCTCTCCCTCTTTGTGCTCGGTCTGCCTGGGACGTGCTTCGTGACTCTTTGGGCATGGAGATGAGTGAGTCCAAGGTTAGGCCAACCTGGTCCGGCATCCCCCTGGATGCTCTTCCGCAGCACATCACCAAAAAGATTTTCGAAGTGTTGAGTCCCGCAGTGCAGCGAGAGTATATGGAGGTGGCAGCGACGGAGGCCGCAGGGTATATCTACTACCGTAACCTCAGGAACAGCCTGGGAAAGCCAGACGTGTGGGATGCTGTGACGAGTGCTGAGAAGCTTGAGTTCGTGCCCCAGAACCCTATCCAGATACTGCGAGCTCAGACGGAGGCATGGCACCGCCTCTTGGAACCTTTAGGATCCCCGTTCCTACTCAATAGTGGGCTTACATGCTACCATTTTATTGAGCTGAGCCCTTGCATGTAGAATGAAATGGGGGGATGTAACCCCATTTGGGGGACCTGGCTGTCTCGACCAAAAATGTAGGCTGAAATGGATGCGTGCAGCCTCCCTAACTTCGCTCAACGGAGCTGTTCGGGGTTCGTTTGGTCTTCGGGTTTGTTTCGGCTCTATGGAACTTCGGGGACTCCGGGTTCAGGGTTGCAGAGATTTGGGGTGTCCAAGGTTCCTGGACGGGTGGCTTTCAAGGTTCCGGGTTGATGGTTGGAAGGTTGCGGCCTATGCAATAGGCAATAAAGCTTTCTCTTCTCTGTGCTCTGTTCTCTGCTCTCCACTCTATGCGGTCTTGCCTGTGCGCAGACTCTGCCCTCTGCGACTCTGTGCTCTGCGCAAAATCTGTGCTCTCTGTTCTCTATTGTATTCTCTCTTTGCTCTGCGCTCTGCTCTCCGCTCTCAGCTCGCTGCTTTAAGCTCTCTTTACTCTCTCTCTCTGTGCAAAATCTGCGCTCTGCTCGCTGCTCTCTGCTCTCTACTGTATGCTCTCTGTGCTCTGCACTCCGTTCTCTGCTCGCTCTCTGCTCTCCGTAAACTCTGTGCTCTCTGCGCTCTGTTGTCTGCTGTTTGCTCTCTGCTTTCTGCTCTCTGCTCAGGATGGAAGGAGTTGAGAGTTTGGGCACTCTCTTCGTCGCAACTTGCAATAGCCTCCCGCAACTCAAAATAAGCCCCGGTGCTGGGTCCTGGCAAGGAGCCTGTTTGGGGGGGTCCTGGGGAGATCCATGAGCCGGTGCCCGTTTCCCCTACACAGCCCTATTTCAGCCTACAACCTCCTAAAGCAGCAAAACCCCCGCGGATGACACCATAGCTTTCCAATCGTCGCGACAAGTACCCTAGATACAATAGGACGTATGCTGGCTAAAATGCGGGGTGCAAGCTGAAATGGTTCCTGTAGCTCTCCAAGGCAAAAACTTCAGCTACAATGAAATGGTGTTCGACCCGTGTAGCACCCCCCATAAAAGCCAGGATGTAGGAAGGGGGATTGCAGCCACTTGCCCGGCATGTCTTATGTGTTCTTTCCACGGACACTCACTGGGCCCTGGCAGCCGGCCGACGTGCTGAAAGGGAGCTTCTAGTCTTTGACGGGCTTCAGTTGCCCGGCATCTTGGACCTTGCTGAGGCTGTCGCAGAGCATGCACGTGAGCGTTGGGGCCAGGAGATGATTGTGGTGCCTATGAAGGTGCCTCGACAGGAGGACTCGTGGAGTTGCGGACATCGCGTGCTGGCTGCTAGCCAGTGGGTGCTTAAAGAACGATGCAGCTCGTGGCCTCTGCAGCCCGAGGAGGGTTGCCTGGCTTTGTTGGATTCTCAGGCAGGCGTCAAGAAGGAGGCAAAGGAGGAGGAGGAGGAGATCAGGGACGATGACCAGGCTTTGGTGGCCAAGTCCGGCCAGAAACGGCCACAGCTGCTGGATGACGACGACGAGGACGAGGATGCTGACCCAGCAGAACCAGCACGCAAACGGAGGCGAAAGCTGACCGCCAAGCAGGAAAAGCAGCAGATCATCGACCAGGGCAAGAAAAAGGCTGCCGAAGGGGGTGTGACCTTCAACAAGAACTTTCAGTCAGTGCACAGCAGCAACAAGGATGCTTGTCCTGAAGGGCATTGGGTGAAGTTCTTGACTGCACTTGGCAAGCAGAGCAGCATGAGTTGCAAGTCGTGCCGACAGCTACGTGACTTGATCCAGGCTCCGGCTGGCCAAGAAGTCGTACCTGTGCAGGCCGAGCAGGCAGTGGTAGTCGGCCCGGCACTGCCGCAGCGCACGATCAATGACGAATGCAGAGCACTTGCAAACATTGTTTTACAGGAATTCGGACTTGTCTTTCGGGGGACACCATGGATCATAATGGCACACGCACCCAGTTACACGTAGACACACGCTCTCTTTCTCTCTTATTCGATCTCTTTGTCTCTCACTTTTTCTCTATCGTGTTTTTGGGTCTTTTTTTGCTCTCTCTTTATCTTTCTTCGTCAGATTTGGTCAGGCAATCACAGGCCCAAGGATACACACACAGCACAAACAGCCGAAAGTGGAAAAGTGCATTGGTCAACATAGGCTTTTCCACTTCTTGGCCCCCCCCAACATGATAGGCCGGCCCGGACACGGTAAGTGGAAAAGTTTCCTCTGTCTCCATTTATTAACCCCCCCCACCAATCTACAAGCTTAGTGGTAGGGGATGCCAAATCCAGAAAACACCAAGACGAAATATGTGATCTACTCCAACAAGGTGGAACAGCAGATGATCAAGGATGAGGCAACATCTCAGCGATTGATGGTCACAGAAGCTGCGGATGCAGGGGTGTTCGTGAATCCATCGACTCCGGAGTGGGAGCTCAACAAGTGGATGGCAGGACTCAACAAGGAGCTAGACACCATGGAAACCAAGAATGTGCTGGAGAAAGTTCGGCAGAGCGACTTCTCAAATGCAAAGCCAGTTCCGAGTAAGCTGGTGTTAACCAAGAAGCCAATGGAGGATTCGGAGATAATCATCAAATCGGACATGGGTGCTTCGGAAATCGCTGCTCTCATTCAGCAAGCTTGGAATCCTAGAGTCCGGCTAGTTGCTTGTGGAAACTTCGAGAAGGACTCAAAGGCACATGATCCAGAAAACTTTGCAGGAAATCCAGGTGCGGAGACCGTGAGAATCTTGCTTTCACTACTGGCGAGGCGTCCCACCAACATGACGGCGGTGGTCCTGGACATCTCATGCGCATTGCTGAATGCCAGACTTGATCGAAGTCCGGATGCGAAACCGGTGCTCATTCAGCCGCCGAGTATCCTGTACAAGCTCGGCCTCCTTGAAAAGGGCTTTATCTGGCGTGCTCGGAAAGCGATTTACGGATTGCGGAGGTCCCCCCGTCAGTGGGAGATAAAGCGAAATGGCGAGCTCGATGGTGTGACATTACATAGAGCCGCTTCCTCACCATGAACACGGACTGCTGAACTTGGAGAGCCTGGAGTCAGGGACATGGTTGATTCGGGATTCGAGTGGCGAGATCCAGGGCGCAATGGTCATGTACGTGGATGACGCGCTGATCATTGGTGATTTGGAAATTTGCGCCAGGCTGAAGGCAAAGCTGTCGAGTTTGTGGGACTTGAAGGTTCAAGGAATCCTCCAAAATCCTCACATGAACCTGGTGGTTGGGGAAACAATCATGCTGGAAAATACGCCCGTTAATGTGAAGGATGAGCTATCTTTCCTCGGCATGAAGATTGGAAGGGATGCCACCGGGATCTACTTGCATCAACACGCTTGGATTTCCACAAAGTTAAAGAAACGTGGATGGAGCACGATGGGGGGTTGTGATAATTTTTTTTTTTTTACGCGCCTTTTTCCGTCAGCAGGAAGGTCCCGCTCCTAGTGGAGTACGGTCACGGTCCCGAGTTAGGGCCGCTTCAGCGCAGCGGCAGGCGGCTCGGCCCGTCAGGGTCGGCCAGGTGGAGGACTTCATCCAGGGCCGGCGCATCGGTGTGTGCCGGTCCCGGCATGGCCCGGGCGCGCCCTAACGCCGTGTGACCGACGGCCTGCTGAACCGCTACGGAGAGCACGCTCGCTGTCCTTGCGGACGCTCGCAACGCAGGTGGGGCTCGGTACGTGTGATAATTTCTTTTTTCTTCATGGCACGGATGTCCTGCTCTTGCCGCACGTTGTTGTGCAGCCTTCTACTGTACCCCTTCTCTTCCCTACCCGCCACGTGGCGGCAGGCGGCTCGGCCCTGCGGCGTCCGCAAGGGTTGTGATAATCTTCCTGATGTAGAAGAAGGTGTGTGGATGCCGAAAGAGCAGACGGGTCAGCATTATGCTGATTTGAAGATGTGTCAGAAGGAACTGGGCTGTCTACAGTGGGTGTGCCTACGTAGCAGACCGGATCTGAGTGCATATGTTGGCACACTGGCGAGTCTGCAAACAATTGATCCTGCAAAGGTTCTTCAGCTTTGCACGCGAGCGTGGAGGTACTTGAAAGGTACCGAACATGTAAAGCTACACTACGACTACACTGATGCAGTGAAAGAGTGCTTGAACTGTTATGGTGATGCCTCTTGGGCAACAAGAGCATCCAGGTCCAGATCAGGCGTATGGATTGCATGGGGAAATCATGTAGTGATGTGGCGGTCTTGTCGTCAAACCACGTGCGCATGGTCGGCATTCGAGGCTGAGGTAGATGCAGCTGCAACCACATGTCAAAGTGGAGCTCAGATCAAACACCTGCTGAGGGCAATCACTGGAGATCAGGAGATGTGCTTGTTCAGTGATAACGCCGCATGTGTCATCAACCTGGTGCGTGAAGACGGTGCATTGATTACCACGAGAACCACAACGGTAGGTATCAGGTGTTCGTATGTCCGTGATCAAGCTGTCCTCGAGGGTTTTGACATTCAGCACATGTCGGGAAATGAGCTACCAGCGGATGCACTGACAAAGACGCTGAAACGATCGGCTCTGGAATTAGCCCGGGCTCGCTTGAACCTTCGATGAACAATCAGATTCCGACATGTAGCCGAGATACGCTTGCACCACGATGGAATTGCCCACTGACTGTAGTGTTGAGATCTGCATGTGTGGGATGCATGTGATAGTTTGCCGAGTGTTGCCGAAGGAATAGTCCAGCATCTCTCAGGCATCAATCTTGATACGATATGTTGTTTGACCTTTGTGCATCTCGAGTGCCCCACGGGTTGGCACGCTCACTCAGACACGCTCGCGTGAGGAGGAGTGTGTTTGCACAGCCGATCTGCACAAATCGAGAAGTGTACTAAGGCAGTTGTCAGGACCAGTGAAGCATGGCCCCTGACGCAAGGATGACACGCTTGCCAGGACCATTGAAGCATGGCCCCTGCGCAAGGACGACACGCCACACGTTGTGGCTCAAGCATGGTGCACAAATCGAGAAGTGTACCAAGGTCTCGGCAAGGGTTTGTAATCTTCAGAGTTGGGAGTTCGGAGTGGGGTTCCGAGGGTACCCGATATCCTCGTTCCCTCTTTGTCCCTAACCCTTTCAGGGTCATTTGGAGCTTGATTTGAAGGTGGTGACTGTGTAGTGTTGATGGTGACATGGGTTATAGTTCGCTAGATGATGTACCATATAGCGTAAGGATGAACCTGCAGCAACAACAACAACATCAGCAGCATCAGATTATGTCACCAGCGTTCAGCATCGTCACAGACAGCAGCCCTCAACAAACACACTTTTTTGCATTTCCCGTTTACATCATATTGCATCACCAGTCCTCGCAAGCACCAGGTCGTGAATTGAAGTTTGTTTTTTTTTTGCGCCCCCTCCTCCAGGCGCCAGCCATCTACACATTGTGTCTCAGGCGGCGTCCGCTGCATGAAGCAACGGGCATCACGAAACACCCAGTCATGACCTCAGTACGAGAATGCCGTGTGGCAATGTGTGGCAGGACACCGCATCGACCGGAACTCGCCTTTACATTCTGGCTTGCACGAGCTCCTGCAACTCAATTGGCGACTAGGGCTGCGATGAGTGCGGCTGATAGCATGGACCGGGCATCTAGTAGCACAGGGAAGGAACTGCTTTAGGGGCTCCTCATGACTCGTAACATCATAAGCGGTCTGCAGCAGCTCGTGTTGAGTGCCGCGGATACAACATCTTTTTTACGCCAGCAGACAGAGTTCCGGCGCACGAAGAATTTGGAAGGCCAGCGCGAAACCCGCAGAGGTCTCAACGAGGCCATTGCCGGCTGGAGGGCACTGTCAGTCAGCCGCCAGCGCACGTCGGCTAGAACCTCGTGCAGCCCCGGCTCATCCCCACCAACATTGCACTCGCCTGCGAGCGGGTGCTCCAGCAGTGAGGCGGCGAATGCGCGCTGCGCCGCAACGGGTACCGCGAGCAAGCTGGACCGCCGCACTACCCATGCACAGATATGCAAAACACATACGGTCCGCAAAGGTGCAAGGGACGCCAGCGGAACGGTGTTTTGCGAGCAGGGCTTGAAAGACTCAGACCTGAAACATCTTTAGCGGGCAGGACGCCTTGCATTCATGAAAGCCTCACCAGAAAAAACGAGGGAACACGCAAAAGTCGCCTCAAATCTGCTGCACTTCCGTCAGTTACTCTCGTGGGTTTACCGGTGCGCTGAGGCTGGACACCTGCTTCGAAATCCGCTCGTCTCATTGATCAACAGTTGAAGGACGGCAATGGATCAACAGTTGAAGGACGGCATACAAGACTTCATTTGTCAAGCCGAGAAAATCCAGAAGATCCTTGTCCTTGCACCGGAAAAAATTCTGCGATCCTGGCAGCTTCGGGCTACATGACCACCGCCGTAGCCGGACTTGGTTTCGAGGTCCTACTTTCGTAGTAAGCCGCAGCAGTGTGGCAATGGAAACAATGACGGCAGTTGCTGGCACATCATATCATGAAAGTGCTGGTCGCCATGGTGGGCATGTGGGCACAGGTCCAGAAGCCAGTCCAGCAAAGTTTCACATTCAGTAGTCTTGAATTTTACCTGTAACTGAAGCGGCTAGCGGTGAATAATAACCGGCTTTCGCACGTTTATAGGACAAAATGAGGGGATTCAAAGAACCATAAAAACTCTCACAACGTATTGTGCTTTGGGTTTCCATGCTGTGCTGAGGCCACGTTGGTCCAACAAGGTGCGGGCAATGATTAAACCATTCTTTGTGGAGGTGTGTGGAGATATGATGGAAAAACCCACGGGCGATCAGACACACAAGTATTGGAAACGACGCATGTGCGGCTCATTGACTCAGAGACACGTGGTTGAGATCAACCATCGAGTCTAGCTAACATGGCACAAACAGAACCAGTGACATTCTAGTCAACAAGCGGGTCTCCATCAAACTAAGCATGAAGTTTTGTTTAATGCCGTCGTGACGCCGACGATGCTGTTCGGCTTACACACCACTGGCCTTCACGGCCGTGCAACGATCCAAACTTGAGCCCATTCAAAGGATTCCAAAGGTGGATGCTGCGATCCATGGCTGGTTGGATCAGAGTTCTGCACGAAACTCGGCACGACACCATAATCGCATGAAAACTACGGCTTTGCGTCAACGCCCCATCGAAACATGCGCAAAACGCTAATACAAGTGTCAACCTTCTTTTGCTTGCCGACGTGCACGGGCAAATGGTTGGGCGGCACGTGTGGTCACTTGGAATGGAATTGGAATGACACCTTCTTCCTAGCACCCGAAGGCCCACAAGAACGCCCACCGACCCGATGGGATGATAAGCTGCGATTTTTTTTTTTTACGCGCCTCTTTTCCGCCTGCAGGGTAGCTGTCCCAGTATGCTGCCACAGGCAGGCTAACTACCGCCGCTAGGGTCGTCGCTGCCCACTGCTACGAGCGCAGCGGCAAGCGACTGGGGCCTGCTGATGGTCCGGCGAGCTCGAGCACTCGCTCGAGGGGCGGCTCATCCCTCTGACGCGGGTGGAGCGGCATTGGCCAAGCCTGCCCCAATGCCGTGCTGGCAACGGCTTGCTGCGAGCTTTCGAAGTTCAATGTTTTTCTAAACGGCCGAATAAATGCTTAGAAACGCAAGGCAAATGAGTTCGTCAATTCGAACCTTATTCCAAACCGTATCCAGCCGACTCTGTTTCACACCACCAGCACCGCGTTGTGACGGCAGATGACGGCAGACTCCGTTGTGCAAGTACTGTCATATTACTGTCATATTCCCACGGATTCAAGCGAAAGGTTGGGAGAGGTTGGTAGCACGCGGTTGTGTATTGGTTTGTTTCATTTGTTCACGCGCCTGTTTGCGACAGCGCAACAAAATCTCAAATCCGTCAGCGCCAACACTAGATCCAGGCACCGAATGCACAAGGCCTCAACATGCCTCAGCTGTGCGGGGACAGCGGCAGCCCGGTGTCGCGCGAGGAAGCGCAGAAGTTGCACAGTTTCGGCACGGAACCTGCCGCCAACCGCGAGGCCGTCAACAACCAGGGCGGCAGTGCCGCGCGCGCTAGAGCTCTAGGTATGATGGATGCCGCTGGTGCCTGGTGGCGGCACACAGCGGCTGGACGTTTGCTTAACGCAAGGATCGGTGTTGGCTGGTATTGTGGAGATACTGCATGAATGATACTGATGGGGGAATGTGTGTGCATGCATTGTACACGGTGCCGCTGACGTGCAGCTACAGCTGACGTGCAGCTGTACGCCCACTGGGTGGGCGCATGAAGGCCCATTTAGGAGGCGGAAAGGCCCCTGCGAGGGGAGACAGGTGGAACAGAAAAAAAAAAAAAAACGTTTGCGAACCTGCCGCATGGCCAAGGACTGGCATGAGGTGGTGCTGGATGCCGGCCAGAATCGGTTATAGGCAGGACATGCACCGTCCTGCCAATGATCGTTCTTGAGTAGTCTGCAACGTCGCTTCTGCATGTTCAGCCCTGATAAGAAGTTATAACATTCGTTTTTTTCCCCAAGTAAACGCGCCTGACACAAAACATGGTTTCCACACACCGCGTCTGAAACTTTCTACCGAACGGTGGGCTTGGAAGCCACAAGAGGCACTTCCAGTGCCAAAGTTGCACCAAGCACAATCCAGCCAGGACGCCAAACGAGGCATTTCCAGTACTAAAGTTGTACTACTACATATTACTACCAAGCACAATCCAGCCAGGACGCCAAACGAGGCACTTCCAGTACTATGGTTGTACAACAACCAAGCACAACCCAGCCCGGACGCCACACGTGGTACTAAAGGGATTTTGGCAAGGAACCCGTATCACGAACCACACCGCTGAATGTTACGACCTACAGTAGCGTTTTCGCTTCCCCGAAGGTATGCTCCGATTTGCTGACATGCGTTACGGCTTCGGTAGTTCCCTGTATTGGAATGCTGTTCTCGTCCGTAGAAGGAAGATACGGAAGTCCTTCGGGACGTGGTCCGGGCACATGCGAAGCTTGCCGTTGCGGTTTCAGGGTGGACGTCGCCGGTAGAGCATGCTATCGGTCGCCGTGAAGTGAACACGGCTCTCGGCAACGAATCTTCCGAATGCATTCAGATCAGCAGCTCACGACCTCGACGCGTGACGCCGGGGCCGCAGGGCGAGCGGCACCCCGACCCGACGGACGTTGCAAACCAAACAAACCAATTGTATCCAATTGTGGGATAGCGTCGGCTCACATAACACGCGTGGAGCGGACACGAGCTGGCAGAACGAAAATGTACAGACCGGCGTGCCATGTCGTGCCCATGCGCAGCCGCTACACATGTGAACTCAAGCTACATCCGCGGTACGCACTTGGATTGGCGGCGTGCACACTGCACACTGCGGCAGGTGGCCAGCGTAGGCGAACAGGCGAGCAACGTGCTGTTGCTGACGGGCTCAGGCGATCGTGCGCAAACCCATGATAGCGCATGGGTGCGATGGCATCGATGAGGCCATCTTATACACCCAGCGCATCCCAGCGCCCATAAGCCCAAATCATGCGCCAGAGATCTTTAAAGTGCGTGTGCTGACATTGCCGAAGATTACAATATATTACAATAACAACTCGCGGCTAAAACAACATGCTGGCATCATGCCATCTTAACGGTACGGCAAGTGATATACGCATCAATTTGAAATGCCTGCATGATTTGCTAGAAAACATTCAGGGTCATTTATGTCAGCAGGTTGTTTTTCGGGCTTTCACGCCAGCAGCACCGCGCCAGCTTTACACTGATTCAAACCATCTCTCTTTCTGCTGACAGTATCCGAAATCCTGACATGCTCAGAGTTCGTCTCACCACGCTCCGTTCACTCTTCACACGGGTGTGAAGCTGACACGAGTCGGGGGTGCCCCAAGATGAACCATGCATCGCAGCTGAACGGCTGAATTGTTTTCGGCATCGACGTGCCACACGAATACGTAGGAAACCGTGTCTTCTGCAGCACCGTGTAGTTTCCTGACAGCAGCTAGCAAATGCTGGCTCCACAACTACCGTCTACAATCCGTAGACAATACCCTGCTCCGGAAATCCGCATCAAACCTGCGCATCCGAGCGCGGCCCGACGAAGGAATTGCGGTTTGACCAACGCACGCGACCTTCGAGTGACCTTTGGGGTTCTGGCCTCGTTCGAGCGGCAATGTGTTGCTTTGTGGCAGTTTTCTGGGTTTGCATCCTTCGTCAGCACTTTTTAACTCACTTTGTGCTGCCATGATTCGGAACCAGTGAACAGTGCGGGTCCCAGGGAGGACGTGTTTCGCGAGCAGCTTCTCTTGCGATAGAACCAGTATATTCGCCGCCGTCGTCCGTCAGATCCGTCCGAAATCCGCCAAGCGTTGTTGCGTTTAAGCTTTTTGCCGTGAGAAGCGCGAGCGTTTTCAGGGAGTTACCAGGACCTGACGACACAAGGAGTGATCGCCGCTCTCCGTCGAGCAAAATCCGTGACAACCGCTGTTGCAAATTATGCCAAAATTCCACCAACAAGGTCTCTGCAACGAGCAGTGCGAACGTTTCGAGGGAGCTACCGGCATCCGACGAAAAAAAAAACGTACTCGCTGCTGTCTGTCGGTCCGGTCGGTAGCACCGTGAGCAAACCCTCGAGAGGCGCTGCTTCAAGCAACGCAAACATGTCGTTGCTCTCTGCCCTGAACAGCGCCGAGGTTGTCCAGGAGCTAGAGGCACCCGACGAAAAACTGTACGAATAGTAGTAATCGCTGCATATCGCTGCAATCATCGGTTCTGCCGGTATAAGCAAATCTGCGAGAGGCCTTGAGGCAGCTGGACAAGTTCTGTGCGCCGGTTCCTGTTGGCAGCACCACGATCAAACGAACTACCTGCAACGAGTAATCGTCGCTGTCTGTCGGTAGTACCGTGAACAAAATCCTAGACCAGTGCTGTTGACCGACAAGGTTTCTGCAGCGAGCGGTGCGATCGTTTCAACGATCTACCGGCACGAGGACGACAAGCATGTGATCGGCATTGTCGACTGTCGGTCACTGAGCAAGTTCTGTCCGCCGGTTCCCATTGGCGGCACCACAAGCAAACGAGCTAGCGGCACTCG